ATTAAAATGAATGCTTATATATACGCGTATTTAATGATCAGCAGTGTTTATGAACAGTCTACTCTTTAAGAACAGTCCGTTTATGAAAAGAAAACTTTCTACAAAAATGAAAACACAAACGTCGATAACGTTAAACCGAAACCTCTGACCGGGTTGTGCTTAACCAAGGTCTTTTAGCGGGTTAGCGAATTTTTTAGTTGTTTTGATTTTCCTTTTGCTTCTTTGACACTTGTATTTTCAAATTGTGATGCGTCAACGTTTACTGAACTGAAACATTTTTGGGTAGTCCCCTCCCTGCTGCTGGTGGCTTAATTAAATCATTATCATATCAATGATACCACTAATCATGGAATCTACTGTATACGCTACCGAAATAACCTAGAATATCTGTATCAAACGTGACACTGTTCGCGCTGTAGATCTCACGTTGAATAAAAATCCAAACTGACGGGTATCGACAAACCATAATTTGAGCGAGAGTCCCTGTGACGGCAGTTGTTTATTCGATATATAATCTGAACGATAATTCTAACATGTTAATTTTTGACCAATGAATATTTCTACCTTGAATTGTGTTACTGAAAGAGTTATAGAACATATCCAAACACTATAAATGGAAAGGGTTTATGAACGCAAAAGAGCACGTTAGAGAAAACAAAGCTACGATCAGCGATGTTTCTCAGTTGAAAAAAAAAAATTAAAATTTCCAATAAAGGTGAAGACACTGACAGGTGGGATTTTATAAGAATCAAAATATAAATAAAGACGAGCTTCGATAAACATCGTTGATGAAAACGATTACGCATTGACGCCAGACGTAACATTATTTCCACGAACTCTAACTGTTCAATTTTATGACTCTGATATGTTCGATTTTATCAGAATCAACAATAGTGCCCATAACCCATGTGTTTGTTTCAAAGTTCCTAATATAATTATTATAATCAGTTTGTACCGCCTAATTGAGATATGTTTCCCACTGAATCTCTTCATTCCGAGAAGACTGAGATTTCTTTGAAATATACGAAAGATACTTATGTTATTAAGTGGTTACTCAGTAATTGCTTCATTGTTGAACAGGGAAAAATATTAATGAAAACCAACTCGGTTGGAATTTCTTGAAGATATACAACTCAGTTGTGTCTAATACGGACACGACGGATTGTGGAATACTAAATAAGTTTATAATGATGTTATCACAGATGATATGGTTGCATACCTGGAAGATTCTTTGAATGGAGGATTGTGCTAAATATTTTAAAAGATATGGACATTCACTGCACGAGATGATGCGAGTTGCAATAAATGGATCAATGCGAGATTTTGACTTAACTGGATTTGCATGCATTGATTCATTTGAGTTTGCAAAATCAAAAAACCCTCATTCGGCACAGTTGCGAGCTACATTGATGGTGATTCACCACAGTTCACTTATATCAGATTTTAAATATTAGCTTCTGTTTCAACAAACTTATTATCTATGATACCACTGTTAGTATTGCCACAGATTCATATCAGTAGTATGGGGCGTTGATGGTGAAAATAGAAAATATACTCACTTATTCTGAATCTTCTGATTATAGATCTGAGGAAATATATTATAAAAATAGTAAAATGTCACAGCCGTCATCAGCATCATCAGTATTGAATCCTGTGGAAAGACATAAAACCGTTCATCTCAGCGTACATTGCAGTTCTGGTAAAACAACACGAAGATTGAATTATTTTGGTATCGTGATTGTACTACCTCCGTTTCACCAACTGAACAGAGAGACGAACAAAAGAGCGGTTAAGTCTCACAGCTTCTTACAATGGAAAGGAGATGAGTGGACAACTGAACTAACGAATGAGAAATATATTCCTACGATCATTATCTGGGATGCGATATGCTCTGTATCTGTTGACGTATTGTTTATAAATTTTCTTGATTGGTTTTTGAGTCGGAATACTGCTTTTATTATTTGTGGTGATTATGGCCAACCGCCACCTTTTGTCGGTGAATCGCCACATCGCTGGTTAAAATATATCATACATTATTATGAGGAAATATTTGACGATAATAGAGCAATTGATGAATCGCTTGATGAGTTCAATAAGCTAATAAATCTGCAACCAGATACGTTTCTATACAAGATAATGCGTGAAATAATTACTGAGACTACAATGAGTGATCTTTGGAATTGGTGGAGGCCTGCTGATTTGATAGTTGCAAGTCGGAAGATAGTTCGTGATTCACTACAGAAACAATTATGTCTCTTACATAAACAGAAATTTTAGACCTACCTGTACCATATTGTTATCGCCCTGATGCTGAAATTTCTGGATTCTTGACAGTACCAAGGATAAAACAAAAGCTAGTTATTAATAATATTGCTGTTGTTACTGTGGATGCTCTTGAGAGTGTGTTAACGATGGATAAATCTCCATGGACTCTAGGATATGATATAACTATTCATTTATCACATGGATTACTTACTTCGGATACGAATATTTGGAGTGTCGATGATCGTATCAAATGTTTAAATTTAGTTTATCTAGCAGTATCTCGAGTTGGAAGAATGTCTCAGCTACGGAAAGATGTCATTGACTGAGTAAGAATAAATTCAGCAAATCAACACGCCGTTGTTATAATATGTCGTGATGAACATATTCGCTGGTTATCAGCGATCTGACAAAAAATAAGCATGGCTTTGATTTTAAAGTTAAATTTATCATGACATTGAAACAGCACCAAAACAATCACTGCATTTGCTGTAATGCAACAATGTTGTGGCAGTATTCTTCAAATGACCTACTACAGTATACTGTGTATAGAATCAATAATAGTCTCAGCCATGCACTTGAAAATGTGATGATAACCAGTCTTGAGTGTAATCTTCGTCGAGGAGCCAGTGCTTTCTTGTCAACTGATCGCCATTCACAAAAGTGAAGGCGGTGGTAATTGTGTATCTTGAGGAATTACTTACAACTCTTCACGTATAAGTCCACGTTGAGGATCAGTTGAATCTAGTTTGTAGATTGCAGGTCTTCCCATGGATGTTACCACGCTGGAAATTTGATATGTGGTTACACTCTAGACTGTGTCACTCGCTTTTTTTCAAGCTTTCCCTGACTCACATGACTATATGACAGTCACATTACCTAGTATTGATTATTTGAAAAAGTCATGTCGCTTAAATGGTATGTGTTTCTTCGATACCGTATTGATGGGGTCATATTAATTTCACGATTAATTTCCTCAGTTAACGCTGCTAGTGTTGCAATCCATTCACGAGATTTTTTTGTCCGCTTGAACTTTGTTCAAGGATATTTCCTGCACATACTGATATTCAAACAATCACTCGGCAAATGTTATATTAAATCACTCAACGATTGACTGATCGCGATGAATTGCGGTGTACCCTGGTCTGATTTTGACGTTATATTGTTGCATCAGCGTTATTACTGCCCCAAGACATTCTTTGCCAGTTTCAACCTTTAGCATCTGTGACCATCACAGGCCGCCAAGTTTATAAGTTCGTTCAAACGCAGATGTAACTTCAGTTGCTGTCTTTGTTCATAGTTGTTTTGCTTCTTTATATCTACTTGCAACATCAACAACAGTCAACGCGTATTTGTATGTGCACTATTGACGTCTGCCATTTTAATAGTATCATATCATAAAAAAAATAGCTGGCTAATGAACCTCATTGGGAATGCCGACATCAAATGTGCGTACTGAATTTTTTAAGATGGTGGTATATAAATCTGTTATATTGACTGTCGTGCTAACAAATCTGCATCAACAGAACATGCAACACCTGCTGTATCACAATTTTAGTAATGGCTGCTCTACCCCTCCAATATCCTATTTATAAATTCACTCCATTATAGACGTTATCTATGATCCTCTAGAACTTGTTTATCTATCATCGCAGATCCTATCAAAATATTATCAAGCGATTCTCTTGGATTTATTTTTACAGACTTCAGTGTATGAATCAGTTTAACTTCTGCAATATGTTGTAGTTGTAACGACACGAAAGCATGAGTCAATCAAGCAATTAAGCTCGACCAGGTTCTATCACAGCAATTATCTTGGTCTGCAGATTTGCTGCCTAACCTAATAATGATATGACTCAAGTGGAATAAGTTGTATTTAGTAGCACCATCTGTAGCTGATCAGCAATGCTATGGCTTGCTTAAAGATTATAATGAAAACGCAAAGTTGCTGGACGAGGACGGCAATGATATTACTGATTTTATCACGACATCAACGATGGTAGATGACCACAACAGAGGCACCCACAATCTTTTAGTATACGATGATATGATGCTAGATAAACAATCAAATCCAGCCATGATATTTTCCCCAGGCAGACACAAAATACCGATATTTTATATGTTACTCAGCCGTATACGCAAATACCTAGAGTGATCGGAGATAACTGCAATCTTCGGGTTGTTTTTAATGGTGTTGATACCCACACACTAAAAAACATCCACCAGACTTGGTGTTCAGGAGACATGGATATGATTAAGTTTGAAAACTTCTCGAAAGCGCAAGCGATTCCTCATGGATTCATCACGATAAATTTACATGATCCTCTGTCGAAGTATCGCATAGGTCTCGATAAAATCTTTGGTTCAGAGAACTCCCATCTAATCACGTTGCAACAACCAGCAGGGAGGGGACGACAAACAGTGAATGTCTCAGGTCGATAAACGATAACTTATACAAATTTGAAAATACAAACGTCATAAGAAAAAAAATAAAATCCGCTAAATCAATTTGGCGCAACCCCGTTATAGGTCTCATTTTAGTGTTATCGACGTTTGCTTTTTTCATTTTTAGGAAGCTTAATTTTCAAAACAAACTGCACTAAAACAGTGGTTCGTTCACCCTTACTGCTGCTTAATGAGATACTATGATTTATTTCGATATATTTATGGCAAAAGAGTACGTAATAAACATTTTTCATACCTTACTCTTGGCCATCAATACAGCAAACTACGCAACCGCTTCGGTGGCATGGTGGTTAGAGTGTCCACCTCAGATGCGAGTGTCCGTGGGTTCAATCCACGACCGAGGCATACCAAAGACTTGCAAAAATGGTACTAATATATCCCTTGCTTGGAGCTTAGCATTAAAAGGTTAATATTAGGACTAATCGTCCTAGTGTCGGGATAATGGGACATGGTGGTACATCATGCTACATGTCTGCGGCATGATGCCCTGGATATTACATCGATATAAACTGCTACACTGCAGACATCGTAGCGATATGACTGAAAAATTGTTAAAGCTACTTTAAAAGTCCAAATCACGCACACATATATCCGAGAAGAGGTCAGGTCAAAAAGATAATACCTGAAAGAAACTATTTTGTATTACGAGGACAGAATGCCAAATGCTTCGCATACAGAGGAATTGTCCGATCTGCCTATAAACGTTGAAAAGACCAAACGTTATGTCATGCGGCGATATGTATTGCGGCGATATGTATTGTGTTTTGTTTCTTCAGTTGCATATCAACGGTAAGTTGATCAACAGAGTAACTCCTCTGGCACGGTTTTCTGCTCAGCGTATAAGACAGACAAAACTTATCTGTTCTCATTGTCGAGCAGTGGACGGCCTCTTTTTCTGTAAACAGCGTGGTATCTTCTTTACTGAACATGACTGTGGATTTACCAATCAAAATACTGTGTGACATATGTCTTAAATGGAACAGAGAAATTCAGCAACGTCCATCTGTAAAGATTGTAATATATTCATATGCACAGTGTGCAGGGTAAACAATGATGAAACAACCTCATAAAAAAGACAAATTTTTCGACTTATTCATTGACAACAATATATACGGTCTTGATACTCAACTTGACGTCTATAGAAATGTACCGTCGGAACATCTCAAGTTCTTTTGTGTGGATGCCAATGTGCTCTGTTGTAACTGCTGAGGATTGAACACAGAAAATGCGAAAGAGTTATCGCCATTGACGATATGATAAAGACGATTGATGTGGGAACAAAATCCAAGAATGTGCAAAAAAACATACGTAACTTTGAAACTCGCATGAAGCAAATTACAAACACTTGAATTCAATAATTTGAAGAAAATAATATTCAGCCCAATCTGATTACAACATAATACAACCTGAAGGTGCTTGGTGTTTAAGCACGCCTGACAACATCCTCACAGTCACAATATTACATAATTCTCTACTTGACCTCAGGTTACAATTAGCATTCTTACAAGCCATTACCTAATGGAAAACACTTCAAGAATTATCTAACGATCATTGTTTACTTACCTCACCATTCATTCACTTAGGTATCTCCAACACCCTGAACATAATCCTCATGTTTACTCTTCTTTTTTTTGTTTACCTGAATAATAACCCTGATATTAGGCTCATAAATTTAGATAATAATTTATCTATGTATTAACTGTTGATATAATTGAAATTATAAAACGTAAAAGTCAATCATGTCAAGCAGAAACGTACCCCATTTTGGACAAGGTCAAGTCCAGCAATGAATGTTACAATACATCGCATGTAATGAAATTTTTAAAAAATTAAACTCACCAGTATATATATATACAAAATATATATACTTGTGAGTATATATATATATATATATATATATATATATATATATATATATATATATATATATATATATATATATATATATATATATATATATATATATATATATACTTGTGAGTTTAATTTTTTTATATATATTACAATACATGACATGCCAGGACACATATATTCCTTGTGTTCATGTCTCTTTGTATTCTGAAATTAATCGTCCTTTTCATTTTATTACAGTGGTGGTTGAGAGACTACAAGTAATTCAATTACACCAAACACATTTTGAAAGAATCCTCAGCTGAGCAAAATTACATTCGGTAGATCAAATGATGATATTTTATGCTCTCTTAGTACAAACCTGGCCTCAATGTTATTGAATATTTTTGATTATACTAACTTGAATTAAGATAGCGTACCTAGTTGATGACAGGGTTTTTTTCTGCCATGCCCGATTTATACTTAACTAAAGAAATATTTTATAATTAGCTATTCGCGATAGTGATGACGGAGTATCATAAGTCTGCATCATAAATACTATAGCTATAAATGTGTGTATAAATCGTTACCTTACCACAAACATAGATCAGAGCATGATATTTTATGTTGTATCATTGTAGAAATAGTCTTTACCAGAGGCAATGATATTGAAGGTTTATGATAGTAGTAACTTCAAATCAGATGGTATGATTAAATCATTACAGTTTTATTGTTTTAGACCCGAGCTACAAAAGTGGAAGAGATAATTTTGATTTAGCTGTACGTGGCACGTTGGACAGAGTACAATAAGTTTGCATCGTAAATACTATCAGTATAAATATGTGTGTTATGTACCGTATCGTGTAAAATATGTTACATTTGTTACTTGCAATGTCATGTTGCGCCATAAATGAGCGACTGCAATTATAATGAAGAAAATGAAAGTAAATAAAATATTTCACTTGAAAATAAATAAGCTCTTATTTTCTCATCGGAACAGTGTTGTGTAATCACCCTTGTGGCTGGAAGGCAACTATGGCAAAGCTACCTTGAACCCTATCGTGAGGATATTGCAGCACGCCATTGTTATTTATTTGAAGTATGTATTTCATGTCACTACAAAGATTTTAGACAATGTTAAAAGCTGGGTTCCATGAGTGCCGTATTCAACAGCTTATACCAGCATCGTCTTCCACTGACGTATATTCATAGATTCATCTGAGGTGTAGGGGTCAGTCTAATCCCAGTACTAGTTAGGAACTCACTAGTTGTGACAAACGGTACAATATTGTAAAACAGAATGTAGACACGAGCTCTGCAACCTGAGTATATTATTCGTCTCCAGCCTTGATGATTTTTTTCTTATGGAGCCTAACACAATGGGCAAGGATATGTAATGCTTACTAACCGAGAGCTTTTATTATAAGAACAAGAAGGTACACCATGACGTTTTAATACAGACGTTTTAAATATAATTAAATTGATTTTCTCATATCTCACAAAATTATGATTAATGAAGTGTTTGATTATGTTTATTCAACGTAAAAAAAAGCAAAACATCTCTCTCTCTCATTCATATATATATATATATATATATATATATATATATATATATATATATATATATATATATATATATATATATATATATATATATATATATATATATATATAATTGACTATACACTTATGCATCATCTCAGTCTCGTCAATTGTTTCACTTTCTATCTATAATGGTCAATATATTAATTAATTAATTAATTAATTAATTACTAATTATTTGTTAATACAATTCAATCACAGCTAATTTAAATAATGATTCAGATTCCATAAAATCTAAACCTTTTCGTTGAACATACAAATGTATACAACCTATAAAGATCAGCTGCTTAGTTAGAACATTAGGACACCTACGCAACGTTCTCTGATTGGACACTGCCTAATCTATAGGGTAAACATAATTTGTGGGCCCCTTCGCATTCTACTGCTGTAAGGTAGCTTTATATATATATATATATATATATATATATATATATATATATATATATATATATATATATATATATATATATATATATATATATATATATATATGCCTCTGTTGCGTAAATATTTGTGAAAAGTTGTCTGGCATTTTAACAAAAACCTGTAGCTATTCCTTTTCTCTGTCTCTGTATGTAATGATTATTTGATTAATGATAAAGGGAAAACAGAAATATCTACGAATATCACCTAGGTTGACAAAGATTTTGCACATTCGTTGTTTTCTTTTAAAAGTCACTTAAGTTCAACATATTTGCTTTAATTTCAAATTTAATTTCTAAAAGAAAATTGCGCTAAACCTTAAAGACATTCGAAAATATTAACCGTCTATACTAACGATGGTCATAAAATAATTTAAATACCTTGTTAAAAAATGTTTTGACCATTGAAACTCAATTTTCGCAGGCAATCGTGATAATGTTAATGTCTTTAGCTTGCAGGGTCTTGTGGAATTATACTTTCGCGTCCAATATACAACGGGCGCCACACCGATATACATTTGATCCAGTGAACCAAGTACCTAATAGGTACTTATAATAAACGGCCAGGTCATTATTTTCGTGCTATGACGCCCAACGTAATAAACATTGCATGTCATACACGAACAATTAAATAGTACCATTTAATTTTGTGCATGGATAAAGTGAATGGAATGTGGTTTTAAAAGATGTTATATCCAGACGTGGACGTAGTTTTAAAATCATATAATGAAAACCAGTAACTACAGAAATTATAGGGGCCCCGAGTGGCCGAGTGGTCTAAAGCGCTGTTCGCTACGGATCACTGCCATCTCACCTCTGTCTGCGTTTGTTCGAGTCTAGGATTCGGCGAATGTGGATATGTGAGAAAGCTTGCCAGTAGCTTCTCGTGGGTCGGTGGTTCTTTCCGGTGATTTCCCGGTTTCTTCCTCCACCAATAATTCTGGCCGCCATGAATAGCCTATCGTGTGCTGAAAAATGGCGTTAAGCAAAACAACAACAACAACAACAGAAATTATGTTAATTTCTTAAAATGTAAAGTTGCCGTTTTAACTAGCGGCTTATCCCCAGTGTCATACACGCGTCTAAAATTAACGGACTAATTACTTAAGAGAAAATGCAACTATGCCGAAGCAGGCAAGGTTATTATTAGTTCACCTTGCCAGTCAAGAGTCTATTCTTGCAAGCAAATACTTCGGTAACCTTTCCGGAAAGATCAAATAACAACAAATGTTATAGGTGTATGTGACTTTACCCAAATCATGATACGTTCATGTTCCTCCGTTAAATAGGCAACGGTCTAACAGGTAGATAGAAGAAACAGGATGAATCTTTCACTGTAATCACGAATCTTGCATAAATAGCTTTCACTTTCTTCTAGTCATTTCCTTGTTCTATGTCCGATTATTTAAAAATATGTTTTTAATTATCTGACGTTTGACTTTCTCGTGTGACTATCAGCATTACAAGAATTACTGCTGCTATTGTTTCTGC